GTTCAGACAGCATTTCTTCAATTTCAGCCAGAAAGGAAGTTTGAACATCTCTTACCTAGAAATTTATGTAATTCATTTTCTTATTCAAGATTTACATTATCCCTATGGAATGTCACCATTATAAGACGTTAAGAACAAAGCAATGACTATGAACTTAATTAACAACCACAATAAAAAAAGGATTTCTTGGCATTAGTAAAATATTCAGGTGTAAAATCTAAGATTAAAGATAATCAACCTTTTCAACTCACACACAATCCAAATAGCTTCCTGAAGAAATAATGTCCCTTCCCATGATATAGGAAAAAAATTAAAAAGGGGGAAAAAAAACCCCTGAACAATTCAACTCAGAGGGACTACAATGACTCATGTCTATTACTGAATGTCACGCTTGCCTGTAAATTAAACTAGAACATAAAAAGCTCACAGTGTACTACCAAAGGTATGTTAATAAAGAAAAGCCAATATAAAATAGAAATAGTAATGACAAATAGTAAGATAGGCCTTGGAGTTCCCTAGAGCAGGCTGGTGTAGCAGAAAACTCAAGCATGAGCTCTGAAGTCTGACAGCTCAATTTACATCTCACCATGGCCACTTACTACTTAGGATCTTGAATAAGACCCTAATCGCTACACATGTCAGTTCCCTCATGTGTAAAGTGAGAACAATAACGTCTACCTTGCTGGGTTGTTGTAAGGATTAGTGGTAATAGACATGGTTCCTTCTTATCAGTGTATTAAATATCTGAAATCCTGCAATCACGAGGTTGTGGGGATGCAAAATTCTTCAAATCGTGAAAAACTCACTAAATACCTAATCTCTTATACAACTGGTATTCATTCCAATATTTTCCCCAGATTAACCCTAGCATTTTTCTCAGTTTATGTTTCAAATTATTGAATAATCTCTAGCTGATTATATGAGGTTTCCAATATCTCACGCACTTAGTACTTAACTTTTCTCTGCCTCAGTTTTCTCGTCTATAAAACAGAAATGATGATAATACTACCTTCTGCAAGGAGGAATTAAGGTTAATATTTGCAAAATGCTTAGTACAGTGGTAAATCATAACAAACACATGAATGTGTTGTGTATCAAGTAAAAATAAAAACAAGGCTGGGTGCGGTGGCTCACATCTGTAATCCTAGCACTTTGGGAGGCTGAGGTGGGCAGATCACCTGAGGTCAGTTGTTTGAGACCAGCCTTGCCAACATGGTGAAAACTCATCTCTACTAAAAATACAAAAAATTAGCCAGGTGTGGTGGTACCTGCCTGTGATCCCAGCTACCCGGTAGGCTGAGGCTGCAATGAGCCGAGATGGCGCCACTGCACTCCAGCCTGAGCGAGAGATACTCTGTCTCATAAAAAAAGAAACAAAGAAAAAATTAACTCTATAGCAAAGTCACTGAAACATGAAGTAACATGATTAAAAGTAGAAGAAAACCCAGAAGGTGCATAACGGGATAAAAACAACAGTAAATATTGATATGTGTATCATAAAGGTTGAGAGGCATTTGTGAAAATGGTTAGTCCTGGAGTATTTTCACACATAAAGAAATGACTGCGTTTGTTACTGAGCTTGTAATGTCCAACATGAGGTTGTGGTAGTGGGCCTCCAAGATGGCACCTGACTACCCCACCCTATGTCAGCTCCACCTCTCATATCTTACCAAACTGGCTCTGTGTAACCAATGGCAGAAGAGATGATATGTTTCAAGATAAGGTTATAAAAAGACACTGCTACTCCCACCTCAGTCATTTCCTGGTCCACTGTCTCAATTTCTCCAGTCACTTGTTCTGCAGGAACAAAGAGCAGTCTGGAAAAGCCCAGCCTTCTGATAAGATCCTGAGAATTTTGTCCAAAGGCCTAAGAGGAACCGAGGACTCCCGCTAACAGTCACATGAGCTTGAAATTGAATCCTTTAACCCTGGGAAACCTTCAGAGAATTGCAGCCATATGCAACAGCTTGTCTGCGACCTCCTGAGACACTTTGAGCTAGAACCACCCAGATAAGCTGCTCCTGCCAGGTCCACAGAAACTGTATAAGAAAAATTCATATGTTTACGATGCTAAGTTTGAGGGTTATATTTTATGTGGTAACAGATATCTAATACAGAGTTGAAGGAAGTTCCATGTGCTATTCTGCAAATTTGATGAAAAAAGTACATCTCCACATATACATGTAATTTGTAGTGTTTACTCTAAGAATTAGCACATACTTGCCACCTTCACTTTTCAAGACACTTTTCAAAAACTTTGTTTTACTATGTAATAGATGATTCTGATCTCCCTTTTAACTGACCCAAAATTCTTTACAATCTGCGTGCTTCTTATTTATCTCATATTCTACTCTCCTCCCATCCTCTTTTTTTTCCTTTACTCGATCCATGCTGACTTCTTTTACGTTTCTGGAACATGCCAAGCAAACTTCCATCTCAAGGCCTTAGTGTTGACAGTTCTCTCTATCTTAGCTTCTCTTTCCCTGGATATCTGAATATCCATGTGGGTCACTTTCTTCTCCTTCAAAGCTTTGCTCAAAAGTCTCCTCATCAGTGAGGACAGTATTAAACAGCTTATTTAAAATAGCAATACCACCCCTCAAACTCATGACTCTCCTTATCTGGATTTATTGTCCTTTAACACATGTACAGTTTGAGCATCTCTAATCTAAACACCCAAAATGCTCCAAAATCTATAACTTATTGAGTATCGACATGACGCCACACCTAGAAAATTCCACACTGACTTCTTGTGGTGGTTCATAGTCAAAACGCATTCAAAACTTTGTTTTATGCATAAAATTATCTAAAATAGTAAAATTACCTTCAGGATATGTGCATCAGTGTATATGAAACACAAATGAATTTCGTATTTAGACTTGGGTCTCATCGCCAAGAGATCTTATTATGTATATGCAAATATTCCAAAATCTGGAGGAAAAAAGTCTGAAATCTGAAACACTTCCAGTCCCAGGTATTGTGGATAAGGGATCCTCCACTTGTAGTAATTTTATTGTGGCTCTTCCCTCACTGAAATACCAGCTCCAGGAGGGTGGGGCTTTTCATCTCTTTAGTCACTTATGCACTTGTTGTGTCCTGATGACTTAGAACAATGCCTGACACTTAGGAAGTACTCAATAAATATTTGTTGATGTAAATCCATTGAAATACCAGCCCCATAAGGATGGGGATTTTCATCTCTTTAGTCACTTATGCACTTACTTGATAAATTCTCATTACCTAGAACAATGCCTGACACTTAGCAGGTACTCAACAAATACTTGATGCGAGCTCATGAAGTGAGTTTAGTTCAAGTGGTTTTTTACAATAGCAATTATCCTACAGTAAGGATGACTGCCTATATTTAAATTTCCTGACTCAGTAGGTTGTCAATAAACGGGGACTATGATCTGAAAGCAAACCTCAGTTGAAAAAGAAAAGCATGGCCGGGCGCGGTGGCTCAAGCCTGTAATCCCAGCACTTTGGGAGGCCGAGGCGGGTGGATCACGAGGTCAGGAGATCGAGACTATCCTGGCTAACATGGTGAAACCCCGTCTCTACTAAAAATACAAAAAACTAGCCGGGCGTGGTGGCGGGCGCCTGTAGTCTCAGCTACTTGGGAGGCTGAGGCGGGAGAATGGCGTGAACCCGGGAGGCGGAGCTTGCAGTGAGCCGAGATCACGCCACTGCACTCCAGCCTGGGAGACACAGCGAGACTCCGCCTCAAAAAAAAAAAAAAAAAAAAGAAAAAGAAAAAGAAAAGCATGTGCTTGTATGAGTTACAAGAAAGGGCTAAGTGCAAAAGAACTGCTGAGGTTAACATGAACATTGTTCTGTGAACTTATGGTTTAAATAAAATCTTTATCACCACACTTTCCAAGAGCAATATTTCTTATCATGGATATACATAAAAAACTCTCGTGTCTTTCCTCTTAATACCCAGAACATTATTTTTATTTTATTTTTATTTTTATTACCGATTTTGCATCAGAGAATATTGTAACTCACTGCACCTAGGTAAAAACTAAAGACATAAATCTGATGTTAGTTCTAAAAATCCACAAGGGTAATGATATGAATTTCAGAGACATGGAAGCCTTGTTCAGAATAGATTATAACAGAAAGGCTCAGTAGAGTCAGGTTCATGAGTGTGTGACCTGTTCAGAAGTGGGTGCTTAGAAGGATCATGGCTTGGATTAATGCTCTGCTGCTACCGTCTTGAAATCCTTAACAATTTATAAACAAGTGAACTTCATTTTCAGTTTACACGGGGCCCTGCAAATTATGTACCTGGCTCTATCTTCCTTTGTAAATGGAGAAACAGACTCCAAGAGTTTTGAAACTGCCATAATAGATCCAAAAATTGTGTAGGCTTTTCACAACTGTACACTTTTGTTACGTATTTATAAACATCTGCTGAATGGATGACTATGTATTGGCCCTCGTCACTTCAGAACCAGGTCTTGAACTTAGGGATTGTGGCAAGAAGGAACAAGGCACGTCCCGGGGGCTCACCGGGCAGGCCAGGTGGCTCACACTTGTGATCCCAGCGCTTTGGGAGGCCAAGGCGGGCGGATCACTAGAGGCCAGGAGTTCGAGACCGGCCCGGGCAATACGGCAAGATCCTATCTCTACTAAAAATACAAAAACAGCCTGGCGTGGTGGCATGCGCCTGTAGTCCCAGCTACTCTGGAGGCTGAGGCAGGAGGATCACTTGAACCTGGGAGGTCGAGGCTGCAGTGAGCCCTGATCTCAACACGCACACACAAAGAATGACTCTCGGGCTTCTTTTTTTTCTAATGGACGGAGGTAAAACCTTGAAAGCACATGGTCAAGTGCCTGATTCTTCCAAAAACAAAAACAAAAAACTAGCCTCAATGAGGAGGTCCATAGCCTCCAGCTAACCAGATTTTCAGTCACAGTGCACCGGGGACCTAAAAAAGGGTCAATCTCAGCACCATGCACTCCACCGGGTTCCTTCCGCCCCTCGAGCCCAGGATGGGAGGAGCCGAGGAACCGAAAGAGAAAACAGGCCGCGCAGGCCGCGGAGGAGCCGGGCGCCTTAATGGAGCTCCGGACGCTGCTGTGGCTGCTGTGGCTGCTGTGGCTTCTGTGCCGGGGCGGCGGCGATGCGGACTCCCACGCCCCCTTCACCCCGACCTGGCAGCGGAGCCGCGAGCATGAGGCCGCCGCCTTCCGGGTACCAAGCGCGCGCCTCCCCGGGTCTGTCCCTGCTCCCCCACTTCCTGTCCCGGGTCTGGGCTGCGGAAGAGGGCCCCCGAGAGGCGACCCTGCTAGTGGGCACCCGTGGCTCTGCGATGCGTCTGGGGCACTGAGCTGCGGGTGCAAAAGCCAGCTTCTCTCTCCCCTCCCCTTGTGCCATGGTGTCGGTCCCCCATGCCTTTGCTCACCAAACGATTTGATTTTCCAGAAAAGATTTGCCGCTATGAATTTTTGGGACGCATCCAAATGAATAAATAGATACGTCCAAAGTGTTCTTGGTGGGAAGAAGCACCCCCTTTTAGCAATCCCCTCGATCGTTGCCACTGGCTTCCAAAGCTCCTCTATTTCTCATTTATGAGAACCAGAAACAGGGAGCAGCCTGTTGGTGGAAGGAACCTGTCGTTTTTTTCTTCCCGAGGAGGGCGCTAGTGATCGGAAGTTAGAGACAAAGAGCCTGCCTTTAGCCTGGTTAAAGAATCCGGATGGTTAATGATTCTCCTTAAACTAACGCACCACCTTAAAAGTTCTTCCTGCCTTGTTGGAGACTGAGTTGGAGAAAAGAGAAACATTTAATTTCATTTTCTTATTATTATGAAAATCCTTTTATAATAAATGCTTAGATTTGAGTCTAGCATGAAATCTCTGGAAGGGACCGGTTAGCTGAGCACAAATAATGATTTTCCTGAAAGCAAGGAGACTGCAAGAGATGCCGCTTTCGTGCTTGCCTCACTATGTTCTAGATATCTGATACCATTTAACACGTTTTTAAATTCGTGAAAGATGCCATTATCATGATTTAATCTATTAGAAAAGAACATTCATTCTGAATCAAACGTAAGTCTGAGTTCAGTAATATTGCTCAAGAGAGTGTATCTTTTTTCCTGGTGTTTGTTGGAATTTCTCACAGGATTTCATAGCTAAGCTCATCCCCCTCTCCCCCACCCCCGGAAAGCCCCAATGTTTAGGAAGGCCAGCCTTCCCTGATTCTGTCCACTCTTACCTTTCGTCCAAACCGAGATGTGTACTGTTATCTCCACTTTATTATTCTTGAGTTCAGTTCTGGTTTTCAAAACCGGAAGTCCTCTTACTCTTTCAAGAACAAAATTCTGGCCTGTATTCTACCCTTATTCTGAACTTAGGTTCGTTTTCCTGGTAAATCAAACCCATTAGGGGAAAAGTCAGTCTCACCTTTATTGATAACATATTCATTGGCTACATAAATAAACACACTGTCAGGCTCCTAAAAAATTAGTATTTCAGGACAAAGCTCAAAGGGCTAGACTTATAAATATATTTTAACGGTTGTTTAGATTTTAGATAATTTGTAAATATATATGTATATAGTTTATGTAGTGACTCATACTGGTCCTGTAAAGAGGCTATACCCGGATGAACGTCTAGAAAATGTAACTTTTCTCAGGAGAAATACAAAGATCCAGGTTGAAAGATGGAAAGTTGGAAGTGGAGGAGGATGGAATTATGAAGACACTTAGTACATTTTAAAAACCTTGGGTTAAGAAATACCGAAAACGTTTTCAAAGCAATTGCTGCCTGTAGGAATTTTCTTCATGAGAGGGGTACACAGAAAGGAGAACAGTGAGGCTTCAAAGCACAGTTGCTGGAAACTGAACATCTCTTGGTGCTTAGTTGGACTTTATTCAAGAATGCTTTAAAACCGATTTTCTACCTTAGCGGTCCCCAATCTTTTTGGCACGAGGGACCGATTTCACAGAAGACAGTATTTCCATGGACGGTGGGGGTGGAGGAGGGAAGTAGGGGGATGGATGGTTTTGGGATGAAACTCTTTCATCTCGGATCATCAGACATTAGTTAGATTAGTTAGCTGGGGATTGCTGTTTGGACTTGGGATAGAGAGCTGGACACAGGGAAACGTGGAAAAGGCCCTGCCTCCTTGGTAACCATGAAACTTCTTGTTGAAATCAAGTGAATTCATTGGTGAATTGATGACACAGGGTTTTGCAGCTGAAGATCTGGTTCAAGAAAGTCCTTGATTAATTAGTAACGTCTTTCATGATCATGGGTTTAGAGAATGGTGAAGGTTTTTAATTTGTTTTAATCTTAGCCTTAGATAGTTTTGTAAGTTTCCTGGGGATGCACCTTACATGAAAGTTAAGTTAGTCCATGACTTTCCCACAGAATATTATATTCTGTTCAGTGAAACCTAGACTCCTCTATGGTTTATTATGGGATGCCTCACAAGATACCTGACTTTGGATGACACCCCTTGTCTCTGCGCTTTCACTACTTTAGAAACTTCTAGTGCTCAGGAAGCTCTTAACTGTTGGATTCAGCCTACTACTTTCCTTTGTGCCAAAACCTAGGTTTGCCCTCATATTTACTGATACTCATTATTTTACCACAGATCATTTGGCATTCTTATCCTTTGGGAGGCGAAGACCCAATATTGGATCCAATAAAAGTTTGATACTGTCACTTTAGAATAGTATCTATGCCAAAGCACATGTGATTTTACATAAAATTTCAGAAGCTTCACCTTAAGACCAGTTGCCATAATGACACAGGTTATATTATTATGAGATTATACATTTAGGAATGTTTATTTATGTGTAAATAGATGGCCGTAGCATCTTTATAACAAGTGATCCTAACTAATGAGCCACTTATATTGCTTGCCATAATCAGTCCCTTGAAATCTGGAATTAGGTCCTCCAAATAGGCTTTATCCAAGAAAACTTTAAAACCTATTTTCTACCTCAGTGGTCCCCAAACTTTTTGGCACCAGGGATTGGTTTCATGGAAGACAGTTTTTCCACGGACTGGGGTGTGGGGGTGGGGTGAGAAGGATGCGGATGATTTCAGGATGAAGCTGTTCCACCCCAGATCATCAAGCATAGATTCACATAAGGATGGAGCAAACTAGATCCCTCACATGCGCCGTTCCCAGTAGGGTTTGTGCTCCTATGATAATCTAATGCTGCTGCTGATCTGACAGAAGGTGGAGCTCAGGTGGTAATGCTCGCTCGCAGGCCCCTCACCACCTGTTGTGCAGCCCGGTCCTTAACAGGCCACAGACCAGTACTGGTCCATGGCCAAGGGGTTTGAGACCCATGTTCTACCTTATATAAAGATAAAAACATGAATTTGATGTTAGATAATGTTGTTCTGCAGACTTTTTCTGACAATTTTCACTTAAAGTATACATTGGCTAAATGGAAACATAAACTTAAAATCATAGATTATAATTCATTCATTCATTCGTTCATTCATCTTCCCATACATTCATCCAATACTTTATTTAATTTCTATTGTGTCTAAAGAACTGGTCTGGGTTTTCTGAGGGGTACAGTGGAGAATAAGACATGTGCTATGCTCTAAGAAATGTACACAAAAAATGACTATCATTATGTTTAAACATTGTATTATCCATTTTCCTGTAAATAGAAAGAAGAATATAAACACTTATACACTAGAGAAATAGATTCTCCCAAGTAGTTCACAAAAGAATGTATTTTTAATTCAATCTTTTTGTGTGCATGCTTACACAAATACTGACTACACAGTTCTTATCATACATAGTAAATATATATCTGCATTATGTTTATACAGAGTTCAGTACACTGTATAGAAAATACTTTGTCTAAGAAACTTTTCAAAAGTGATTTATAAAAATGTATCCTTTAAAAAGCTTTTATTGTTCTAATCCAGGGCTTCTCAACAGTGGCACTATTGACATTTGAGAATGGATAGTGATTTGGTGTGGGGGGCCTTCCTCTTCATTGTAGGGTGAATAGCAGCATGCATGGGCTCTATGCACCAGATGCCAGTGGCATCCCACCAGTGTAACAATCCCCAGTATGACAAATGAGGGACAAAATTATCCTCAGTTAGAATCACTGATCTAAAGTTTACAACTCCTAAGTCTTCCAAGAAATTCTCAGCAATGCTTTAATATTGTATACAAATATTTTACCTTTTTGCTCATCCTCAGATTTACTGCAATTTCCAGAAACTAAAGCACTCCCAAGGAGAACATTTTAAATCTATGTGTACAATTTATGATTTATCCTATGAAACTTCAAAATCTGCAAATGAAAGTTGTTAAAAGTCTGAGTAATGGAATGCAAGACAAACAGTGAGTTTAAAGTGCCGAAGATAAAGTGATCTTCCGAAGTACCTTAGGCATCTCTGATAATTTCAATATAAAACTCATCCCATGGATACATGGGATTCACTGTAAGGGAATACACACATCATTGCATATGTTGATAAGGGCAAATAAATCATCATGATTAGTGGAAGGAAACCTAGATATCAATGGGGAAAAAATAATAGATGTTCACTGCCTTTTCAGCTGATAAAACAGACAAGAAGTCCCTTAAAGTTTATGTCCCTTCGGTGGATTTCTTGGAGGCCAAATAACTATACCCCTCCACCAAATACTAGTTGTGTGACCTTAGGCAAATCATGTATCTGTTTCTCAGATTTTTTCATATGTGAAGAGCGGGTAATGTTAGCAATTACCTTTATACAGGACTAAGTTAATTCATATAAAACACTTGGAATGAATACTTGCATTCAATTTAACAATCCTTTCAACCTTTTGTATTTAGTGCATTCAGTGGCCAAGAGCTTTCTTTGTAGAGAAATGAAAACAGTTTGCTCATAAAGGATTTGCTTAGTCCTTTAGAAACAGTTGAGTACATGCAAGAAGAAAATACATGATTCCATTTATTCTTACTTAGTGGCAGTCTGTGAGAAAGATTTCACAGACTTTTCCCCCCAGGGAAGTAGATTAAGGAAATGTCTGAGAACCCCTCAAGCCACCCTCCATGGGTTTCTGCTCTTAGATCATTTTGAACATGACCATTTTCCTCTTAACTTACCCTAACCCGAGCATTGTCTAAGACTGTGGTTACCCACAGCTGGAAAGGTAAGAGGGCCAATATGCCTGAGATTGCTGGAAGGACTTTCTGATCCTGTAAGAAAAATGTTGGTTTCCGAGGAATTTTAAAACTGCAGCCTCACCTCCTCATGAGACTGGTTCAAGTCTCTTGTCAATAGTTATTCTGTTTTATGATCAGACTGAACCCATCCTCTGTTGTTTGGCCTTGCTGGGATGCTTCATGACTGACTACTCTGCAGTTCTTATCAACCTCCTTTAGTGTAGTTATGAAGCATCCTACCTAGGTTAACAGGCAGGAAATTAGAATATGGAAGACACTGCTTAGAAACATATTACATTTAAATCACAGTTCAAATATGTGATCACCTCCAGTGCACGTGCACACACACACACACAAAGGCAGCTTTAAGAGATTCTACCTCTTAGAAGGATGGCTGCTAGAAGTCATAATAAGGATAGCTTTAGGGACAGAGTCTTACAGGGACAGGGTCCTAGGTATAAAGTTGAGAGGTTCTACCTGTAATA